AGATAGAAGTGAAGCATTAGAATTTCTCCACGTTTGACCTGTAGCTTGTTCTGCTAACCTCGATCTTGATTGGTTGTTGTTGAGGCAATCAAAACATAGTTGCAAACAACGACAAGCCAAAGGTCAACAACAACCAATCAAGATCGAGGTTAGCAGAACAAGCTACAGGTCAAACGTGGAGAAATTCTAATGCTTCACTTCTATCTGAAGTTCGTGCTGATGATGTTGTTCAGAAGAACAATGAAAGCTCCACAACCAAAACAACCAGCTCAGAGAACAAAACACCTTCACAACCTACACTGTTTCCGTATCTTTCTTAATCTCAAAATACTCTACTAATAATCGTATACATCATATATGATCTCCCTATACTCAGTTCATTATCAATGATTCGCTTAATAATTTGACGATCAGGAAGCACAAACTTCACCAATAAAGAAGATTGGATGTCATCCTCACCTTATAATCTGTATAATCTATCATGAAATGCCTGATCTTCTAATGCGTCATCTTCTCGAAAAACACCTGTCAATATCGAATTAACAGCTTCTTAGTTCAGTTTTTAACACAATTATTTGCTACATTAGCACACTACTACTTATTTTCAGTTTACATATTATAAATGTTAAGGTAAAAAAAAAGTCCAAAATTTAGAGAATACATTACTTTATGGACATCCATGTTGGATATGGTGAAGTAATATTTTCTAAGCACACAGTTTAAACAACAACAACAGCAATACGAGAAGTGTCAACACTAACAATCAATCCTTTTAAAGGTTACCATAACAAGCTATCAATCAATCATTGCATGAAAAGATTCAAATAATCCATTTCTATCGGAAATCGGATTTAGAAAGTCAATAACAATGCTAAAAAATTAAATTACTCCATACAATGAATACAACTACTATATCAAAATTACTTTTGTAAAAGTTGAAATGTTTCTTTACTATCATCTTAAAATACATTATTAACTTGATTGTTGCATACATGTACAATTCAATGAAAGACAAGGATTTGATTGTGACCAATTTGGTCTCCTATGTTTTTATTGGGTATGAGGATGGATTTTACTTCTCGGCTGACCACACCATGGAAGGGTTCTGGTTGTCTAACATTAGCCTACCTTCGTTTTCAAGTTTCTCAAGAAACACCCTTCCACCGTGTGAGCAGCAGGTAGGTGACATCCATCTTCATACCAGTAACAGCACACCAGACCATACCGGTCACAGTTTAAATCCTTCCTACATCCTCTAACACCTCTCTTATCTCAACAACTAACCCTTCTCACATTCTTTTATCACCACACTAACGATTCTAGTTCACGAAAAGTTATTCCTGATTTCTTGAACCCGGCTCTAAACCACATCTTGAAGTTTTTAATGTATGAACTTGTGTCAGTGAATTATATGATTTGCCTATAATGATTCCTACTATCAATGATAGCGTTATGACTTAAAAAAATCTGGTATTTATATTGATGATCTGATCTTGTTGTGATATAGTGTGGCGAATGAGTGCTCAGTACAACGCTGTTTATGACTGACACAATTGATCACTATCAAAATCAATAAACCCGTGGGAAAACTGTAGAATATTGAGAAGAATTGCATGTTATACACTTAAAGATTGTTCATATCATTCAAATAGTCTGAGGTGACGCCTGATCGCGAAAGAGTTTATATGTGTAATACTTGTGTATACAACAATGATTTGTTTGCACATAATCTCGTGACTAACTAAACTACGATTGTGTTAGCATAGTCCTCTTCCAATTGTCTACTGGTACATACGTGATTACTAGATTATGAATCGGACAATCCTCAGTATTACTAGTTAAAATATACATTACAATTACTGTTAATCAACATCACACAAGTAACCAGTTTAAGGGGTTTTAGTAAGCATCGCGATCAGATCTCAGAACTCACATATGATAACAAATTGAAGTTTTTGCAATTTAAAGTAGTAGGTAGCTAAGTGGGAGATCATGGTTAATTAGGAATCTGAGCATGGTTTTAATGTACACAAGGGTCATGCTTGTTAATGAGTACAACAATGGCTTTCACTACAATGTAAGAGAAAAAATGTGGAAACATGGGATAGGTCCTACGTACTTCAATAAATGACTTTAAAAGCTAAACTTGTATTGATCTATTGATCAGTATTTGATAAATGTACCAAAAAAAAGAGATTGCTGTTTTTCTCTTGTTAATCAACTAAGAAGGGTGATATTCAGAAGTAAACTGTATTTGCCAAACTAGTTAAACGGGCAGTGGAAGTAGCAAGTTAATCTCTAATCAGTGAACTTAAGATTGGAACGTTAAAAGGATATCATCTTGCTGTCAAAAATGTACGCTCTATAGCTTTCCACCTACATCATATCACTAATTCGCAGGCTATATTCACCTTTGAACTATAATTTTGGGAAGAAAAGGTTTCTCCAATGCGATTGGTAATTTCAATTTACATTCTGTTCTGAAAGTATAGATTTTGTTAGAAACTCTAATGGGTATCCAATTTCGCTCAATAGATCACAGATAAGTTTGAGTATTGCTTCGAAGCAATCTTTCGAGTATAAATAATTTTAGCTGGGAACCAAAACATTTAACTTAATTTTGCTTCTATTTCACTGGAACAAAATTATCTGTAAGGATCATTATTTTCCTATGCTTTATACTGAAGTTCAGTCAGTCAGTTGCAACGTAGAACATCGTACGTATGTACATAAGTTCATGTTGCCATACCACATTAGCACAGAGACGCAAATGTCAAATCGAATCTCATAGTGATAAACATAGTAGAGGTATTAATGGTAATGAAGAAGACTAGGGTTCGAAGATATTATTCAAGAAGTATAATTCAGTGAGAAAAGTTAGAAAGACAAAGGTAGAGATGTTGACTAATCCAGATTAGTATTTGAGAGAGCTCAAGGAGTGGATGCACCTGCGCCATTGCAAACGATTTTGAGCCATGTCATTCAAGGTCTCTAACCATTGATGACTTTCGTCTCGCGGACCCCAACCAGGTAGCCTACATCTACCAATATGACTCAGTCCACTTGTCAGTGACTTCATGGATTTCTGCCATGTTTTGGTTTGGCCGCCCATAGCTTTCTTCCAACCTACTCCTACACCACAAAACATAGCTCGTCGAGGCAGTCGGTGGTTAGCCATACGTAACACATGTCCCAAACACCTCAACTGATGAAGTTTCACCACTTCATCGATTGATTTGCTATCGTTACCTAGTACTCGTTTCCTAACGACAGCATTGCTTACTCGGTTGTCCCACGATATACGAGCAATGCTTCTTAAACATCTATGATCGAATACTAGCAACCTACGAACATCTTCTACTCTTAACGGCCATGTTTCACAGCCATATAGGAGAACGGAGCGAACTGCTGCGCAGTACACTCGTCCTTTCGTTAGCGAACGGATATCACGCCTACGCCATAAATGACGCAGCTTGGCAAAAGCCAATCGAGCTTTCTGTATCCGAGCTGAGATTTCGTCAGTCACAAGGCTATCAGCATTGATGAGACTCCCCAGATAAGTGAAGCGATCAACACGCTCGACCACTTCACTCCCGATCACTAGTTCAGGTGGCCGATGCAACCCAATCTTGAAGCAACATTTTGCATTTCGAGTGGAGGGAACTGCATCCCGAATATGCTCGCATTGTTGCTTATGGTAGTCAGAAGACTCTGCATTTTGTCAGCGTCTTCACCGAATAGAACTATGTCATCGGCATACTGAAGTTCAACACTACCACTGATAAGTTTCATTAAATCATAACACATTGATATTATACAGCATCAGTACTGAATCCGATTTTCAAATGATTGTGTAAAAATAAGATTTTCACAAAACAAAAACATGTAGTCTATATTTTAACATCAATTCACAATTTCAATACACAAAATGGTGTAACGAAATAGTAATATGTTATTGAGCTAATCATCTCAAGATGTACATATATATGAATATATATATTCCAAAGAAAACAAAAAATCGATAAATTACAGTTTTGAATATAGAAACAAGAAATATGCAAATTTTGCCTATTTCTATCTAAATGAAATTAAGAAAATCTCAAATATATTATTATTATTATTATTACTATACACAATGAATAAACAGTAAGACAAATGCAATTAAAATTTAAAAAAAAAAACAAAGTTATAACACACTATCACAATATCATATTCTACTACTGTCCGTTAGTCAGTTAGATGCAACGGAGAACTTCGCACGTACGTACGTACGTAGATGCGTACATACGTGCGTACATCAGTACAACTTGTCATATCACAAAACATGAGCACATACATACATACACACACAGAGAGGAGACAAATGAAATTGTCCATTCAAATGCCATATAATAATAATAATAAAAGGTATTAGAAGAAGTCATAGGCAATAATCATAAAGATGACAATTCATAATAGATATATAGATAAATCCAATGAAATAAATTTGAAAAAAAAAAATAATTCAAAATCATGAAGAGATTAAAAAAGACAAACAACAATGAATGTGTGTATCATCCGGTGCTATTATTTGTAACCGATTGAATTTCAGTCAGTCAGTCAGTCAATTAGATGCAACGTAGAACTTTGTACGTAAGTACGTACATCAATTCATGTGGCCATACCACAATATTAGCACACAAAGATGTAATTGTCAATTCAAATCCAATAGCAGTAGAAGAGGTAGTAAAGGTGTTAGAAGTAATCGGAGAGGTTAGGATTAGAAGATATTATTCAAGAAGTATATGATTCAGTGTGAGAAAAGTTTAGAAAGACAAAAACTAGAGGGGGTTGAAGAATTCAGAAGATTAGGATTTGACAGAGAACACAAAGAATACATGAACCGATTAAATTTAAATAATAATAAAAATTATAAATCATTTAAATTATTATAATTATTATTCTAATTAATATTATATTGATGATGATGATGACGACGACAAGGTGTGTATTTAATTTATTTATGTCCATGGTAAGAAATTTGGATGTAGAATACAACCTAATAGAGCATAACCTATGAAATAACAAAGTATCATACGATGTTTAAGTAAATGATATTGAAAAGGATTGAAAGCTTTATAAAGATTTATTAAATAATAGTTGAATTCAAATGTATAATTTAGCAAAGAATTACTACTACTACAACAACTACAACTACTATTTCTACTACTACTACTACTAATAGTAGTAGTAGTAGGATGCTTATTTGTCATGATCATTAATGATTCAAAGTTGGGCAATGTATCACAGAGTAGATAAGCACAAAACCAATAGATAATAGGACATGATGAAAATATTAAACGTGTTAATACCTATGAAAAAAAACAGAAAATAAAAAAAAAAGTTAACATGTGAATGATTGCATGAAAATTTCAAAAATGAATCTAAATTAACTGAAGATTATGAAAATGCACACTTTGTTTTTTTTGACCTTGTCAACTACTATTTTACTTTTATCTTGATTGTTTCTATTTGAGTATGTGTGTGCATCACTTTCACTACATGTTTGACTATTTGTCTTAAGGATGTTCGGGATGCGGTTCCCCCCAACTCGAAATGCAAAATGTTGCTTCAAGATTGGGTTGCATCGGCCAGCTGAACTAGTGATAGGGAGTGAAGTGGTCGAGCGTGTTGATCGCTTCAATTATCTGGGGAGTCTCATCAATGCTGATACCCTTGTGACTGACGAAATCTCAGCACGGATACAGAAGGCTCGATTGGCTTTTGCCAACCTGCTTCACTTATGGCGTAGGCGTGATATCCGTTCGCTAACCAAAGGACGGGTGTACTGCGCAGCAGTTCGTTCCGTTCTCTTATATGGCTGTGAAACATGGCCGTTAAGAGTAGAAGATGTTCGTAGGTTACTAGTATTCGATCATAGATGTTTAAGAAGCATAGCTCGTATATCGTGGGACAACCGAGTAAGCAATGCTGTCGTTAGGAAACGAGTACTAGGTAAGGATAGCAGATCAATAGATGAAGTGGTGAAACTTCATCAGTTGAGGTGGTTGCGACATGTGTTACGTATGGCTAACCACCGATTGCCTCGATGAGCCATGTTTTGTGGTGTAGGAGTAGGTTGGAAGAAAGCTAGGGGCGGGCAGACCAAAACATGGCAGAAATCCATGAAGTCACTGACAAGTGGATTGAGTCATGTTGGTAGATGTGGGCTACCTGGTTGGGGTCCCCGAGACGAAAGTCATCATTGGTTAGAGACCTTGAACAACATGGCTCAAAATCGTTTGCAATGGCGCAGGTGCATCCACTCCTTGAACTCTCTCAAATCCTAATTTTCTGGATTTGTCAGCACCTCTACCTTTGTCTTTCTAACCTTATTTCACTGGATTATACTTCTTGAATAATATCTTCAAACCCTAGTCTTCTTCATTACCATTAATACCTCTACTATGTTTATCACTATGGGATTTGATTTGACATCTGAGTCTCTGTGCTAATGTGGTATGGCAACATGAACTTATGTACATACGTACGATGTTCTACGTTGCAACTGACTGACTGACTGACTTAAGGATACTGATCGACATGACTAAACCGAAGTAGGCACAGTGGGATTTTTTTACCTAAAACTAAATAACCCTGATACAGCCGAGAGATAAATGAGAGTCTACTCTGTTGAAATGCTCTTGTATGATCATGCATACACAGCCATTTCGAAGGAAGTCCTATTCACTGGCTTTTCGTGACGGTGTTGTTTACGAACTGAGGGAACGTAAAGCTAGTGTTCAGTGCTTTAACCAGGTTGGTAGGGGAGCTGAAAAACTCTCATTCCAAACTAATGATGCACATGGGCTCTAGGGTCCTGACGGAACGAGTGGTGTGTGAACCTGCTCTTGGTCACCGACTATCGTGTGACTACATCTCCTGACGTTGCTCCATTGTCGTGTGAATTGCACTTTCAAGTCACAGGTTCGGAGAATGATCCTCTAAAATCAACCTGTTTTGACTTGGACAACCGGGTAGTATCCCAGCCTAATCACAAAGTCAATAATTTATGTGGTGCATAGATATTTAGGTGCCCCCAGTTTGTGCCAATATTTGTGATCAGGTAACATAAATAAGGACATGAGTGAATGCAGATAATTGCAGTTCTGACACAATGATCACTATTATCATTCTCTAGTTTATACATAAATTTTTTTAATGAAAAACTTTAGGTATTTTAATGTACAAACTTCTTAAATTTAAGTTTTATATTAACGTCTATATTACTTTTTCTCTGTTTTACACTTGAATTAAGATAAATTTGAATGGATAAACCACTGAGCTGAATCATACACTGTCTGGGCTTGAGTGTTTCAATGTTGGTGAGTTGTGTGACTCCTCAACACTGCAACACATCCAGATAAATCGGAAAAGTCAGAACTGTTTATAGAAAAGAAAAGTAATTAACTGGCACAATTAGAAACTGGTCACACAACGAGTCATTGTGTCATTGGCCAAGAAATGGTTTGACTTTTTAAGAAATGAGACATACATTAATGGTGGCTGAAGTGACAGACATATATGTATAATATGTACAAGCTCAGATATATACCAATTCGGTTGGCCATTTCATTAAAGTAGCTAGATGATTCCTTATATAGGAAGATTAAGCATCAGTACTAAACTCGGACAATAGTAGGAACCTACAAACAAACAATTATGTTTACCGATAGGGGCAATTAATTTCTTTTTCAACTAAATTTCACATATGAAGCAACAAAATGTTTATTGTATTTTAAGATATAGTAGCCAAACATAAATTACTTTGTAATGTACATGTTTATGTAGTCAGTTTTGAATCTTACAGTTTGAATGAAGGCTAGTTATACTAGTCAGTTTACTTTAGCCGGATTGGATGGAATGAGGTTTGAAAATGAGAGCTCAATAAGTGAAAACCATATGAGTTAACCAATGACCAGGTGAACCAAACAGAGCTACCTCGGCAACTACATCCACTCTATTCAAATAGTTTTCTTTTGTATAACTTTAAGTGGCCTTAATACCGGAGACGGAAATCCATGAGGTAAGGTGAGGGGTGACATTTTTAGAGTCGAGCTTTTCTAACCCTTCCTTCCTTGTGAGAAGCCAGCATCGCTGCACATGCTGGTTTTCCGAGGGAAACACCTTACAGCTGTCACACCCCGTCTACAGTCAACAGTACAACTTCGCCCTCACACCTTGAGTAGCTGCTTTTAGTCTCACCGTTATCCAGTCGACATGCCTCACATAACAGAACCTACAGGAACTAAATGTTCCAGCCAATATAGTTCGGTTGGATTATCACAACAGGCAAGCTCGACTACGGTCCAGTAAATTGCAGATAGTTTGTTTTGATTACTCCTTAAATATATTGACACAAATTTCCTGTGTAGTATAAGAAGTTAGTGGAATTAATGAGTAAAACGATATTTGTGAATCCCATTAAATATCAAGTCACAATGCATGAAGGAAAACGCTACCCCCACCAAAAAAATATAATGCATGTTTAAATAACCAAACACAAATAGTGTGACATGAAGTGTACAATAAATCAAAAGTAAAAGCATAACTCACTTGAATATTTATGTGGAGAACCCCGTATGCGCACAGAAACAACATATGAAACACATACGGCACCATATTACGATCCATTTCACATTCTGCATATAGCCCAAATGTTCTGTATGCTTTAGGCGCCCGTCTATAAAACATGACTGAGCATATAAAACATAAAGCAACTACAGGTAAGGCTAGAATAAAATTTGGTATTTGACGTAGTTGATAGTATCCCCACAGCCCAACATTCCAGTGAATTTTTTGTATATGAGAATACGAAAATGGTGGTGCAAACGAACACCAAACTGGTGACTGTGAAGAAGTAGATTCGTTTGTAAGGCTAAATGGTACAGAGAAACCATGATCCAGACCATAGTTAAGTAATGGTATAGGGATTTTTGACGGAAATACAGTATGAAATAATTGCAGACGAGAACAATACAAAAAGTATCCGTAACTTTGATACAATAAAAAAGGAAGAAAGCATAAACAGGGTAACAGGATGCGTGGGATGAAAAAAGTAACTACGTGTACCCACCACTTGATAGACAAAAGCAAAAAGGTTACGAGAGACTTTTTCGTTTTATGGATTTCATCTACCCATATCAGAAACCGAAAGTTTGAACCAACAATCATGAAGTAAATTAAATATCCTATGTTCAACAATCCATTACTTCTGCATAGGACAGAAAATGCAATTAACAATGAGGACAACAAGATCTTGTTGATACCCATAAAATATAGTCCAGAAACGGTAAGGAAGAAAAATAGTGACTCAGAGTAAATAGATGAGAAAAACACTACAGCCGGATTACAACAAAATAGTAAGGAAGCAAGAAAACTAATCTTTATAGAACCAATAATCAAAATTCCTAGACGATATAAAAAGACTGTGGAGGCTAGGTTGAAAACAAAATTCGAAAAAAATCCACATAAAAGAATTGCAGAAGATAGACTTATAAAACGTCCACAAATTGTTGTAACCAAACGACCTAAAAAGCTTAATAACATGGGGAAACCCGGGAAAAATGCAAGGCTTCGTTCGAAGATATAACCATACTTTGCGATGAAGGTAAAATACATACAATCCCATTTGCAAAATCCTTGGAAAGATGTTCCGATCACTTTATCAACCCAACCAACGTAATGTTCGTGTGGGGGTTTGAAAGCGTCAGCATCATGATCAGGAAGAAGACTGCTACTAAACTAAATACATTTCATGATGAGAAATGACCACATACTATTATTATGGCAGAAATCGACCTCAAAACAAATGCACATTTCAACAACGAGCACTCCTGACTCGTTAAACCAAACATACGCCACCGCCACGACCTTGAACTTTAAACTTAGTTCATGATAGACAATTGCATTCAAATAATTCAAATGGTTATTAACGGAATAGAAGAATCTTACGGTTAACATGCTTCCGTGTCTAGTAGCGACTGGTCACCGATGTCAGCAGGTAGAATTTTAGGTGTATTCAACTAGTAGAAGAGAAATGCGTGTAAATTATGGTCATTAGCTGTTCTGAGTCCTTAATCAAATGTCATGTTGCTTCATGAAAGACTTCTATGAAGCCGCTGTTAACACCTATCTTGATGACGAATTATTTAATTTTACTCTTCGTAAAGAGTAGGTGAACCTGTAATCCCCCTAAGAAATGTGACGAGACTTGGTTTAGACAAGTATTTCAAGAGATGCTCATGGGTGCTTAGGATGGCCTAACTAATCATAAGGTTACTTCTGTACTTTAACGGGTAAAGATCCAGTAACTTCAGATGCTCTTCATAAGGCGTGAATCTGAGTCCTCAAACTAATTTATTGATTCACTTTTGGATGCTTTCCAGTGTATTCTTGTCTTTTTGGAGGAGATACTATATTTCCATGCCCTCAGTGCGAACAAGTAAAGTAGGTGGAACATTTTTCTATAAAACTGACCAACAGTGCGCTTCAGAACACCTGAAAACAAATTTTATGTTGCTCATTTGTCATTATCCAACTTCTGTTGGTGTTAACCCATATGATTTTAATTCCTGTCGTTTGACAATTAGGTCGGTTACGGCATAGATGGTTAGATGATTGCTGACTTTTGAATGACCTTATAATGAAGTGTAGCTATGTACCACAAAATAACAAAGTTAAATCCTGTTACAGCCAGAAGTCAAAAGACCGGTCGTGATTGCAGGTATAGGTGTATTTGTTGGCGATCCCATGATATCGAAAGAATATCAAGATCAAAACAAATATTACAGGCTAGAATGCCGAGGCAAACTGAGCGATGTAAGGGTTATGTGGTTAGGAAGATAATGGTTTTTCGTGAGGAGAAACAAAGGAGTAAAGTAAAACAGTCACTGGTAGAATCGGCTACCATAATAAACGTTTCCATTTCACCAATCTCGTTCTCTTCATAGAAGTATACCATAATGGTAGCCCTCCGCTAGAAAGGGTTTACACTTTCAATGCGAAGCGGTTTTTTTCGAAGAACGAATTGACAAACGCGTGACTAAAGGACAGAGGAGTTGACGATCAGAAAGCGATCCATGAACCTGGAGTTTTCACCAAAGGTCTTTTATGAAGCGTATCAGTGATAACGTGCTATGATTGTTGCTCCAGTTAGCGTATCACACCAGCGTGGCTCATATATAGAGTATAAAAATCGCGTTCGTAGCGGTCCCGACAAGAAAACGCTGCAGACCTAGGAAAGAACAGATTAAGCGAAGGAACCAGAAACGACAAAGTTCCAAACCATACGTTTGTTAGGTATATTCGAAACCAAATAGTCGACTGAGTGCATCGGCAAGAGCTCGGGTGATTAGGCCAGCTTTCGTCAACTTTGACTGAAGTCGATGGTACCAACTGGGTGATGTTTGTAGACGTGGGCTCAGGACCAAAATGTCAAAGAAAAAGAGAAAGGTGTGGCATGTACGTAGTACGAGGATAAAGTCCAATACCGGTACCGCGAAGGCGTATAAAAATGGAGATGGATAATTAATAGATTCACCGTAATTGAATCCTTTGGATTAAACGTCAGATCACCAATTTTATTGATGACCGAGTCGAGATTGACTATGATCACCACCACAGCAATTACGAGCCCATCACCCCAGATTGCTCCACCACAACCTCTTGAAATGGTTACCTTAATCCTTTTACGTGGATGCTTTATCTCATCTTGTTGGGAATACTGCTTTTCAGTCTCAGATACAGAACACCCATTTATTAACCATTTCTTAAATATGCTGTTTTCTGCAGGAAAAGCCTTTGGTTGTATAGCACGGGCTGTAGTGTTTGCGGCATTTTGTAATTTCGATGCATTTTACTTTCTTTAGTAAATTAGAACTGTTAAAATTGGGCCCAGAATATGCATTTCAACGGGACTTTAGCCTCAAGTCCAGATCAGCAGACCATGCTTCCCTTGACTTCTGATGAGATTGCAGTCTACGGCACTCAACCTCGAGGTACGAACGAGACTACGATCCCGCGTTCAGGCTGCCAGGTACATGCATCGGCGCGCTTTCGTGACTAGCCTCTCCGCAGACGACATATTGAGTATAAGATTTTGTTTCTTACTACATGGTTGCCAGAACGTTTTCATCATTCTTTTCATCCTGAGCTAACACACCCAACTATCGCCTTTCCGTTACTGTCGACGTCTGTTGGGGACGTTAGATCCCCAGAACTCATTTGGAAAAATTCCTAATTTCAGATTTCTGGTGTTTTCGCACATTAGCTGCTCATTTGACCTTAAGATTACATTTCCCACCCTGAAAAAAAAACTGACTGTCATTAGTTGATGGATTATTTTAGCATGCTATTTTGTGGCTCTCCCAAGGGAGTTTCTATAACTGTGTAAATAAGCATGAGTTTTGTGCTTATCGACGTCGTATTTTCTGGGTGCTTGTAGAAAACACTTTCTACGCCTTAACAAGACTTCTTGATATAGTTAGCCGGACGGGGCAACTGATTAGAATAGCCTACTGTGTAACTGCATCATAAATCTGCTCTCCGTTCACCGAGTTCATTGAATCCGTAATGGTTCCAGACATATCAACTGACGAGCATATCAGTGTCGCTCAACTTTCTCTACAGCTGGTCTGACTGCCCACGCCCCTGCCAATGTACCTGGCAAACATTCCGGTTTCTACTACGTCTGGCAAATATACAACTACGGCTGTGGTTATCATGATCGTTTATGGCTTTCCATCTCAACTAAGTTTCGTTCTACGTCCAGGATTTTCAAAAGCTGTCTTCGAATTCTGTATGCGAACTACATTGTTGTGGAATCCGAACTCGAGCATGTGAAAGACTTACTTAATAGTATTTTGGTCTTCCTCTTTTTCCTTGACCTTAGGGATTCTAAATCGGGGCTCATCTTGTGATACATTGTGTTTTCTATCCACTTCCATCTCTCCTTCCTGATTTTCTCCTCCACTGGAATTTGGTTTGTTTTCACCCACAGTAGGTTGTTGCTGACGGTTCTGGCCAACGGATCCGAAGTATTTTGCGTAAAGAGCTGTTAATAAATACTTATATCTTGTGGAGAGGAGTAGGAAATTTTCAAACAAGCTTCACAGGGCGGCTGTCAAGATAGAACAATACTCTCGACTACACAGAAAGAGGTAAACATCTTTCTACAAAAAAATACACTACGAAAGGTAAAACAAAATTCATTATAACACGATACAATCGATTGTGGAACATATTACCAATTTCTATCCGTATCCGTGACACAATCAGCATGTTCAAGAAACTATCAAAGTTGTTATTAGACTCTAAAGAGATTTATCAACCATTCTCGGAACTCACACCAAATCAAAAGTTACCGTTTTATGGTCCATCTAATTTTCACAACAACCATAGAAACTACCAGCAACGCATGAATACATTTATCCCCATTACCATCCATCCAGGCATCATGAAATCATAGAGAGTAATAGGACACGCCTTTGGGATGCAACCCCTAACGTTCGGATTTTCCTTAAAATTTCAATTATTATTAATAATTTTTTCTTAACTGATAAACGTGTTACAAGAGGAATGATAATTTACAGGCAAGATCAAAATGTCAAGGTTGGCAACATATTTCGTTTAAAACGGTGTACAGTTACTGAAATATTTCACAAGATACATTGGCTTCATATAGATGGCTAAAATTTTCCACATACAATTAAACATAATTTTACAGACTCTACAATGTACAACGCGAATAATTGACGCGAGTTACAGTGGTTGCGTTACGACGAGCTTCTTAATAACTGCAAAACAACGCAAGGTAGAGCCATGTCTGCATATACAAAGAGTTGCTGAGGTAAATGTGCAAAGATATGGTTGATATTCGACAGCTAATAAATTTACAGGCCGCTGGGTAAAGTAACCAGGTCTTCAGCAAATATTCAGACTAATACATAAGTATCGGAGTAAGGAGCTGAAAAAAGAGAAATAAAGAGAACGGGG